TCATATTATCATATTATCATATTATCATATTATCATATTATCATATTATCATATTATCATATTATCATATTATCATATTATCATATTATCATATTATCATATTATCATATTATCATATTATCATATTATCATATTATCATATTATCATATTATCATATTATCATATTATCATATTATCATATTATCATATTATCATATTATCATATTATCATATTATCATATTATCATATTATCATATTATCATATTATCATATTATCATATTATCATATTATCATATTATCATATTATCATATTATCATATTATCATATTATCATATTATCATATTATCATATTATCATATTATCATATTATCATATTATCATATTATCATATTATCATATTATCATATCATATTATCATATTATCATATTATCATATTATCATATTATCATATTATCATATTATCATATTATCATATTATCATATTATCATATTATCATATTATCATATTATCATATTATCATATTATCATATTATCATATTATCATATTATCATATTATCATATTATCATATTATCATATTATCATATTATCATATTATCATATTATCATATTATCATATTATCATATTATCATATTATCATATTATCATATTATCATATTATCATATTATCATATTATCATATTATCATATTATCATATTATCATATTATCATATTATCATATTATCATATTATCATATTATCATATTATCATATTATCATATTATCATATTATCATATTATCATATTATCATATTATCATATTATCATATTATCATATTATCATATTATCATATTATCATATTATCATATTATCATATTATCATATTATCATATTATCATATTATCATATTATCATATTATCATATTATCATATTATCATATTATCATATTATCATATTATCATATTATCATATTATCATATTATCATATTATCATATTATCATATTATCATATTATCATATTATCATATTATCATATTATCATATTATCATATTATCATATTATCATATTATCATATTATCATATTATCATATTATCATATTATCATATTATCATATTATCATATTATCATATTATCATATTATCATATTATCATATTATCATATTATCATATTATCATATTATCATATTATCATATTATCATATTATCATATTATCATATTATCATATTATCATATTATCATATTATCATATTATCATATTATCATATTATCATATTATCATATTATCATATTATCATATTATCATATTATCATATTATCATATTATCATATTATCATATTATCATATTATCATATTATCATATTATCATATTATCATATTATCATATTATCATATTATCATATTATCATATTATCATATTATCATATTATCATATTATCATATTATCATATTATCATATTATCATATTATCATATTATCATATTATCATATTATCATATTATCATATTATCATATTATCATATTATCATATTATCATATTATCATATTATCATATTATCATATTATCATATTATCATATTATCATATTATCATATTATCATATTATCATATTATCATATTATCATATTATCATATTATCATATTATCATATTATCATATTATCATATTATCATATTATCATATTATCATATTATCATATTATCATATTATCATATTATCATATTATCATATTATCATATTATCATATTATCATATTATCATATTATCATATTATCATATTATCATATTATCATATTATCATATTATCATATTATCATATTATCATATTATCATATTATCATATTATCATATTATCATATTATCATATTATCATATTATCATATTATCATATTATCATATTATCATATTATCATATTATCATATTATCATATTATCATATTATCATATTATCATATTATCATATTATCATATTATCATATTATCATATTATCATATATTATCATATTATCATATTATCATATTATCATATTATCATATTATCATATTATCATATTATCATATTATCATATTATCATATTATCATATTATCATATTATCATATTATCATATTATCATATTATCATATTATCATATTATCATATTATCATATTATCATATTATCATATTATCATATTATCATATTATCATATTATCATATTATCATATTATCATATTATCATATTATCATATTATCATATTATCATATTATCATATTATCATATTATCATATTATCATATTATCATATTATCATATTATCATATTATCATATTATCATATTATCATATTATCATATTATCATATTATCATATTATCATATTATCATATTATCATATTATCATATTATCATATTATCATATTATCATATTATCATATTATCATATTATCATATTATCATATTATCATATTATCATATTATCATATTATCATATTATCATATTATCATATTATCATATTATCATATTATCATATTATCATATTATCATATTATCATATTATCATATTATCATATTATCATATTATCATATTATCATATTATCATATTATCATATTATCATATTATCATATTATCATATTATCATATTATCATATTATCATATTATCATATTATCATATTATCATATTATCATATTATCATATTATCATATTATCATATTATCATATTATCATATTATCATATTATCATATTATCATAATATCATAACATATCATATTATCCCATTAGAATTAAAAGTATAGTTTTGTTATTTTTTAAAATAAATGATTTACTTTCATCAAGATTTTAAAGTCTTAATTAAAAAAAAAAAGGTTCAAAATAGTAAATGTTTTTCCGCTAAACACAACATTCGTTTCGTGAAATCAAATTTATTGACGCAGTAATGGTGGTATTGGATTACACAAAATATTTGTATCATTGTGTAAAATGCAATCTAAAAATGGTCTTAGCCTAAAAACAAACATTTAACATGTTATTAACTACTAAGAAGATATCTGTCTACAACAAAATGTAAGTGTTTAACCAAAAAATTTATCTCTCAGAATTATTATTTTTAAAATTTGGGCTTTTCCTATTTATTTTAAATCCAAATGCAGTTCTATAGTCTCAATCGCTTCTTAATAATTATTTTTTAATATACATTATTTTATTATTTGGCAAATACGACTTATTTCTTTCTTGATTCCCGGTTTAACAACCCCGATAACTACAATAATAATAAGCAATTTCTGTCGAACACGACCCGAACTCCGGTTCAAGCTTCCTGAAGCAAACTTAGCAAGTTTGAATTGGTGTGATTATTGGTTTCGGGCAATAATCTCATAATATTAGCGACACCGCATGTTTCTTAATTCGAAAAGCTAGATTCCTGTCTTGTTTTTCGGAAAATAATGAAATAAACTGTATTATTTACTGCAAATGATCGAAAATAAGTTAAAAATCTTTGTTTAAAATATAAGAAAGTGAATCTAAGGAAGATTGACGTGTCTAGATGTCGTGTTGGAGCGCGATCTAAAACTTTATGTCCGACTGTTCTTAATATCAAAAATTATTAGTATCTATCAGATGGTTAGTAATTTATTTATAAATATTTAAGGTTTGAGGTTATTGAAGCAGTTTTACGAATATTATCGTATATCAGCAAAAAAAACTTGTATTTCTTGCAAAAATTATAGATTATAAAGGACCTCGCACTCTTTATATTGATTTTGGGTACTGTCACAATTGGTTCAAATTTTAGTATGTTACTTTTTAGGTCATTATAGGCAACTTTCTTATGGACCTTAAGTTTGCAGCTCTACAGTGTGAGCTGTTAGGAGTCATAAGTAAATAGTTCAGAAAAATATTCACACATATATCTCTACCACTTTTAAGGTATTCAAGTATTTTCCATTAAACTTATGGCATGTGTTACATTTGTAAATAGTTTGTTAATGCTTACTTCCACTTTATAAAATACATCATACAGAGTGTTAAAAAAATATTGTCACATATCCGCAAACATAATAGTAAATGTTTTACATTGGAGACGTTTTTCGGTAACAATCGTTGAATTGACACTCATACTTCCGAATTATTAAGTCGCAGTTTTATTTAAACACAATTTTTAAATTAACACAATTTTTAAATTAACACAATTTTTAAATAAACACAATTGAAGTTGTCTTATGAAGATTTTTAGAGTTTGAGAGCTTGATTGAAAACATCGAGATATATTGAAGTAGAGACACCATGAACACTATTTTGTCGCATGACAAGTAGGCACAATTTGAGTTGTATTTTAATTAATTTATAGTTTATAATTTTATATTTGAAGATTGATCGAATGAAAATGTTTTAATATCATTTAAATCATGCTATTTCAAAAAATAGCAATTATTCTCATCAAAACTGATTATCTTGGCTTGCTCGAGTTTGACATTGACGTAAAAGTGTAATGCAAAAATGCAGACACTTTTTAATATCGTTATAGAATCTCCTCTTTATTCTATCTCAATGATTGAAAGGATTCGTATGCCACGTCCTACTTTCAGATGTCACGTCTTGTTTATGTGCGATGATCAAAATAAGCAGTCACATTTTTTGTGTTACCTGGTTTCACAGATCTTTTGACCTCCTCCTTTTGACTACAGACCTTTACGATAACGACTAGTCACTCTGGTGCTCAATCGGCATTGTATACCGACAGAGACGGGGCGGGTCGCATATTTGTATACAACACCCAGGATCGCCAGTCGGCTTTCGCCCGAACATATCTGGTAAATAGCAGACGATTTGGCAAATGGCTTGGGTAACTAACATCCGTGATCACAAAAATGTTCGTTAAAAATCAGTCTTTAGCCTTTTTAAAGATATACCGTTAGAAAGAACAAAAGCCTATAACCCTGTCCAATTGGTAGATTTTATTACAACAAATTTTAACGCCTATTATAAACAAAGATTATTGGATATGGTTACCAACAAAGTAGATATTAGGAAATATACAGTAAACGATAAGGATGTTAAACCAATATTCAGTCCTAAGTTCATCAAGCTCTATCGAACATTATGTTGATATGCAAAGTTTTACTTGTTCTTGCCCCGAAGGCTATACAGGGAAGATATGCAAACATCAATCAGGTGTTATAAAAAAATACAACATATCATCGGCATGTAATATCTTGTGTCAAGACCAAAAAATAATTTTATATAAGATAGCTACTGGTACGAACCCTCCTAACCAGTTCTTAAAACCACTGCTGAAGAAACCGGAATCCAGCACTACCTGTTTAACAAAAAATATAAACTATTTGTTAGAAAGACTCATCACAACCTCTTCATTAGATACAGATTGCGATAATAATTTTGAAATGACAACCCTATAGAGGAAGTAAATACCAGTGCTCTTATAAATGAGTGGAAACTATTTGCAACGAAATTTACATCCGATATCGAACAAAATTTGAGGGATGACCCGGAAAACTTTCAAGAAGAAGTAAAAGTCTTTATGAACAGTTATAATACGAATGTGAGAAGTTCCTCTAGCCTTTTAAGTGGCTTACATACTGCATTTAAATTTAGGGGTACTAGCACCAAACGATTAATTAACGCTTCTCGAAAGGGCATGAAAATTTCCGTACAATCAACTACTATTATGCGCAGAAAAACTAAATTCACAGGGAGAAGGCGATTCAAATCAGGGAGAAAACCGGAAAATGGAACTCAGAAACAGAGGTTAGCACCCCATGATTTGCCTAGGTAGAAGGAAAATTGCTAAATAATATTTTTTATTCAAAGTACATACATACTTCTTATGTTACCTAGAATACATATTTTGTTAATTAAATTTGCAATAAAAGTGCCAAAATCTATCGAAGTTGTTGAAATTTGCAATCACGGATGCCATTTAGTAAATAGGATTTGCGATATCGTATGCTGTTTACGGAAGAGGTTACGGCAGCGTTCGGGCTACAACCGAATCGCAATCATGGACGTCGTTCACAAATATGCTGGCGGGTCAGAGCACAGTGACATACCAAAAAATAAAGATAAACATGTATGAAAATAATAAAGTTGAATTTATATTTTTATGTTATTAATGTGATTTAAAAATAGTATGTTGTTATGAAATTTAACTATATGTTCATTGCTTAAACGAATCAATGGAGAAACCGCCTCTGGTAAAGACCAACTAAAAACTATAGATTTCGATGTGCCACTCCGGGCTCAAATGAACGTTTTTCAGAGAACTAAAGATGGCACAACAAAACCAGCAATCCCTATTCGCGATTCAAATTAATTTTCGCAGGCCTGTCATTTGTCATCTCTAAGTAGAATGTTTGTTTATTTACATGTATTTGTTTTGGGCGGATTCTAAAATTTGTAATTTTTTTAACTGTTTTTATATACTATTCTCATTATAATAGTGTTTTTGAATTTCATTTAGTGTTAATTTAAGTTTACTTCTCGTGCTTTCGTCATACATATAATATTTATCATGTGAATGACTTAAATTGTTGGATATATTCACAAAATTTTACGACTTGCACTTGGAAAATAATGAATACTTTAGTTTTGATTTTGACATTAACACCATATAGATTGAAATTTGCTGGGGACTTTTTCGCAGATTTCATTTTTAATATAAACACTATACACTATACAATATAAACACATACTATAAGAAATAAACAAATTTAAAGCTAAAAAGTAAGAAAAAGCTCCAATTGTCATTGATACAAATTAAAATGTAAACAATGAACACGAACGCCAATGTTGCCAAATGATGAACTGATTTTAAAACAAAATTAATAAATGAACTGAAATATAATAATATAATAAATCGGTTTTATAAAAAAATCCTTAAATAAATATAAAGTATGATTACATATTACTAGACACAAATTTTGATTCTTAAATAAAAGGTGTTCAAGAGCTAAAATCCGACAACGTAGCGAAATTTTGCTGGCAATACTGAACGATATCCTGCTATAATAGACTATTATAGAGACCTCTTACAAATTTCCTCCAGAGGGCGTATCACTTAGCTTGAATCGCGAATAGGTGAAATCTAATTTAAACTTATTTACTATTGTTAGTGCTATTACCTATCGATTCAATTATTGTTAATATACATTTCTAAGTGAACGTGAGATCGAGCGTGAGATCCCAAAGTGAGTTTTTTTACAAATAAGTAAAGTTTTAGTTTTTCTGATCCGATATAAGAGGTTTTCTCGCCACAAAGCAAACTAATCTTAAAAATATTCGGCCGTCAGTTTTGTTAAAGTGGGTTGCTCTACAACCCTTTAATATGGCTTACTTGGGTAACACCAATGAAGAAAATTGAAAATTCCAGGGAATATAAAATATATAAGCACTAGGCTCAGGTGTTTTGGGACCCTCATCACACCGGGGACATTGTGTTCCACAAACTCTTGTGTTAAAGACAGAACTGTACATGTGAAGTAGAAAAAATATATAAGTTTTTCGCTAAGATTTCTCTGAACTGATCTTAATATAAAATTTGTGACAAACTTTATCCTTGTTAATTTTTCAAAATGCAATAGTAAAATATAAACATAATTTACCTAAATAAAAAAAAAAAAATATGAAATGTGACCTTCTCTTCGTTTCTCACACCTACCAGTTATTTCAATTCGGGCAGGTATAAGCAAGCCCTAAAAACCACAAACATTTCACAGTCGTATGATTAAATAGCTTGTTCGAAGGCTTGTCAATTTATACTTACATTTAAAGCATCAAACAAAGTAAAATTTTTTCTTGGTCAAATCTGAATCATATCTATATTCTAAACATATATTGGGGTCTATTCTGTAACAATTCCTTTATATTTAAAAGCCTTTAAAAATATTTTCTTCTTTACTTCTGTCATTATTTAAACGGAATATCAAAATACATTAGAGGACTATCTTAAAGAAATCTGTTTAAATAATGACAGAAGTAAATTAACGAATACAAACATATTTTTAAAGGTTGCCAATATTTTTAAAGGCCGTTAAACATAAGGAATTATTATAGAATAGACCCCATTATGTTTGATAACTATAAAAATTAGTTTAATTTTTTCAAACTTTAATTATGTCACATCTCATTAAACAAGAAGTGCAAGTATCTTTAAATAGATTGACAAAACGAGCTTCAAATTTGTTTATAGTTTATTTGTAAAATCGCATTGAGAACATGTTATAACAAGTACTTTACTTTCAAGCCCTCTGGAGGAAATTTGTAAAAGTTTAAGTAGGATTCTTCATTGTTGCCAGGAGTAGCGGAATTTCGCTACGTCGTCAGATTTTTAGCCCTTGACGTGAAAACACCTTTTTTTTTAAATAGCAAAATGTGTGTCTAGCTGTCTAGCAATATGTAATAATACTTTATATTTATTTAAGTATTTTTTATAAAACCGATGAATTATATATTTTTTTTTTATTTCAGTTCATTTATCAATTTTATTTTAAAATCAGTTCATCATTTGACAACACTGGCATTCGTGTTCACTGTTTTTATTTTAATTTGTATCAATTATAATTCGAATTTTTTCTTACTTTTCAGCTATATATTTGTTTATTTTTCATATGTGTTTATATTAAAAATGAAATTTGCGAAAAAGCCCCCAACAAATTGCATTCTATATGGAGTGTTAATGTCAAAATCATAACTGAAGTGTTTATTTTTTTCCAAGCGTAAGTCGTAAAATATTGTTACTTATGAAAAATGGATATCTTTAAATTCACAATATTGAGATTTTGCAAAATTTTGTCTACAATCAAACTTCATAATATAAAAATAAGGATGGTAAGATTTTTAATTAAGTTCATCAATTATATAGGTTTGGTACCTGATATGTCCTTTAAACCACATAATAAAACATGTCCTGGGTTTAGATAAATATTTCTAGATGTTTGTGTAGCAATATCTAGGTGAAAATTTACACCAAATTAAGTCATAAACACAAGATAATTATTATATTTATGACGAAAACACGGAAACATTACTTAAATTAATATTAAATAAAACTCGAAAACACTATTATAATGATAATATTATCTAAAAAACAGTTTCAAAATCACAAATACAAAATTCGCCCAAAATAATCAAAATGTAAATAATCAAACATCCTACTTATAGGTGACAAATGGCAGGCGCACGAAAATTATTTTGAATAACGAATTGACATCTGTGTCATGGCTGATGTAACTAAAGTACAACTACTTCAAATAATGCGTTGCATAGATGGAACCATAGGCATGCACAAAATTATTTATGCACATAATTATCCAGCGTATATTAAAAATTCACCGAAGTAAAAAAAAAATTTTTAGAATATTAAGAAATGGAGCACAGATATTTTAAGTATACCCCTACCTACCTACCTACCTACCTACCTACCTACCTACCTACCTACCTACCTACCTACCTACCTACCTACCTACCTACCTACCTACCTACCTACCTACCTACCTACCTACCTACCTACCTACCTACCTACCTACCTACCTACCTACCTACCTACCTACCTACCTACCTACCTACCTACCTACCTACCTACCTACCTACCTACCTACCTACCTACCTACCTACCTACCTACCTACCTACCTACCTACCTACCTACCTACCTACCTACCTACCTACCTACCTACCTACCTACCTACCTACCTACCTACCTACCTACCTACCTACCTACCTACCTACCTACCTACCTACCTACCTACCTACCTACCTACCTACCTACCTACCTACCTACCTACCTACCTACCTACCTACCTACCTACCTACCTACCTACCTACCTACCTACCTACCTACCTACCTACCTACCTACCTACCTACCTACCTACCTACCTACCTACCTACCTACCTACCTACCTACCTACCTACCTACCTACCTACCTACCTACCTACCTACCTACCTACCTACCTACCTACCTACCTACCTACCTACCTACCTACCTACCTACCTACCTACCTACCTACCTACCTACCTACCTACCTACCTACCTACCTACCTACCTACCTACCTACCTACCTACCTACCTACCTACCTACCTACCTACCTACCTACCTACCTACCTACCTACCTACCTACCTACCTACCTACCTACCTACCTACCTACCTACCTACCTACCTACCTACCTACCTACCTACCTACCTACCTACCTACCTACCTACCTACCTACCTACCTACCTACCTACCTACCTACCTACCTACCTACCTACCTACCTACCTTTTTTTTTTTTTTTTTAGCTCGCTGGTGGTGAAAATCCTCAAGGACACTCTCTTTGAGCGTGCCGGACTTTTACCGACTAAAAACACCACCTTCACTATTCCCATTGCACCGGAAACCGCTCTCGCATTACTTCAGTACAAGGGATGTTTTAATAATTATCTAGTGTCTCTCGTTTTTGTTTCAAGGATATAACGAATAACTTCGTATGCCGTGTTCCACCCACTTTCCGAATTTAACAGACACGTCATCATATTTTCCGCGTTGAAAATTTCTCCTGTTTTCCTTATAAAGGTCTCGCGCTTGTTTTCCCACCTAGGGCACGTAAATAGCGTATGTTCAGCGTCGTCTATTAAATCGCAGTAATTGCACTTGTCTGAATCTGATCTTTTTCGGTCGATATTTTCTAAAACATCCGTGTCCAGATAGCGCTTGGGTTATGAAGTAGTCCACTTCTCCAAACGGTCGTCTAACCCATTTTTCAATGCTGGGAATTAGTGTATATGTCCAGCGACCCTTCGTACTAGAATCCCACATATCTTGCCATTCTAACATTAAGTTGGCTTTGGACGTGCCTTTGTCAACTCCTTGATAATTTCTTGTTCTTTCTTTAATTAAGGACATTAGCGGCGGGATGCCAGCAATGACCCCTACCCCTTCTGCAGATATGGTTCTATATGCGCTACATATTCTTATCGCCATTCTTCTGTTAACCCTATTTAATCTTCGTAGTAGTTTCTTATTATTAATAACGATTTGCCACACCGGGGCGCCGTATAGAATCTGTGAATTAATGACGCTGGAAAGTGCCCTTCTTTTGGAAGCTCTTGGCCCTCCAATGTTAGGCATAATGCTAGAGAGAGCAGTAATAGTTTTCTCCACCTTTATCACAGTGTTGTTTATGTGTTCAGCAAAGGTCAGCTTTGTGTCCAACCATACTCCCAGATATTTTAATGCTCTGTTTGGGCTTATCTCGGTTCCTTGAATTGTGAATTTTATTGGTGCTATTTTTCTTTTTGTAGTAAGCAGCACCGCTTCTGTTTTCTCCGGTGCGAGTTTCAGGAATCTGTTTTCCATCCATTTTGATATTCTCTTCATTGCCGTGTTTGCTTTATTCATCAATAAAGTTTCGCTACTGGCCACTACTACCATAGCTACGTCATCTGCAAATCCAATTAGGGTCGTACCCGCTGGTAAGTTTATTCTGAAGATATCATCATAGAGTACATTCCACAAAGTTGGCCCCAAAACTGACCCCTGCGGGACACCACTGTTTATTTTTTGAGTTTTTCTCTCGTTTGCTGCTTCCAGTACTATTGCTCTATCGGACAAGTATGCCGATATAATATTCACTAGACTGCCTTGGATTCCCCTCTCTCGTAGAGTGTTTAGAATCAGTTGCCAAGATGCACTATTAAAAGCATTTTTTACATCAAGTGTGATCATTGCACATAATCTTCTATGTTGGTGTGAGTAATTTGCCGCCGCCTTTGCAATTTCGGTGACGTGGTTTATAGCATCTACAGTTTGTCGACCTTCTCTAAATCCATACTGTCTTTCAGATAAGCCTCCAGTCCGTTCTAACTCAGCTTTAAGTCTTGTTAAAATTAATTGCTCATAAACCTTTCCTTCTACGTCTAAGAGGCAAATGGGTCTGTATGATGATGGATTATCTAGTGGTTTATCCCCTTTCCTAAGTAAAACAAGTCTTGCTATTTTCCATTCTGTCGGAAATTTTGCCGCTTTTGCCAGTTGATTGTAAACTCTTAATACGTACTCGGGCTTTGTTTTTGTCACCAGTTTTATTATTTCTGGGGGTATGTTTCCTGGTCCAGGAGACTTGTTACTTTTAAGTCTATCTACTGCATTTTGCAATTCTTCACCTGTAAAAACTATAAAGTCTGTTATGTTAGCCTGTTCATAGATTACTTCTGGGTGTATAGGAAATAGGTGTCTAGCCACTAGCTCAGTAGTTTCCATGGATAAGCTAATTATTGGTGGAAAATCAATTGTCTGGCGTATGACTATTTTGTAACCGTCCCCCCATATGTCCTGATCAATGTTGTCTCTCAGCACTTTCCAGCTCTCTCTTTTAGCTCTTTTGATACTGTCTCTTAGTCTTTTTTTAATTTCTCCATATTCAGACCATAATTCCTCATTTTCGGTGTGCGTGCGTCTTTTTACGTGTCTAGTATATGCCCTTCGTTTTCTGATACATTCATCTCGCAGTTTAGCTAGATTATCGCTCCACCAGTATGCTGGTTGTCCCCTCTTTACTGGTTTTCTCCTAGGCATTGCTTTTTCACACACTTTTGTGAGATCTTTCGAGAATTGTTCAGACGATGTTTGGTTTTCTTGAGCAATTTTGTCGAGTTCAGTTTGAAATTTCTCTATGTCTATCTTTTTTACTTGCCACCCCATGTGGTTTTGTTTAAGCTTCGTTGATTTCCCAGTTTCCTCTATGTCGAAAACTATATAGCTGTGATCACTTAAGGACTCTGCGTCGCTGACATCCCAGTTGGCAGTGTTGATATCTGAAGTTGTCATGGTTTTATCTAGAATAGAGGAGTACTCCCCTCTTCTAAAAGTAGGTTTTTCTCCCTTGTTTACTATAATTAGATCTTGCTCAGCTACCCAATCAGTTACTAATTGACCCCTGTTATCAGTTACATTTAGGCCCCATTGAGGCGACTTTGCGTTAAAATCCCCAGTAACAATTGCTTTTTCCTTGTGTGTATTGATCCTATTTCCAATCTCTGTCAATGTATCGTCAAGATCCTCTATGTCGTCATTTCCAGAGCAGTAGCAACTGTAGATTGTATAGCCATTTGTTACAAGGTAGGTGAAACCATGACCATGGCCGTTACTTATAATGGGTATGTTGGGGCCTATCACTTTAATAGCAGTATCAAGGTATTCGTCATAGAGCCAATCTTTTCTTCCTTTGATCGCATTTTTATTTGGTTCACTTATTAGCAACAGATCCACTTTTTTGTTAATAGCTTCGGCTATGGCAAGATCTTGCACTGGTCGACTGCGGTTAGTGTTGATTTGGAGTAAACGAATTTTGATTTTCGGGCTCTCTTCGGGTTCCTGCACACATTCGGCTTCCTGTCTGGTGTCCTTCTTGTTCACAGTTAATGCAGTATGCATTATTTTAGCATTCTGCAGCTTTATGTCCCTCCTTTCCACACTTCATGCAGTTTCTCTCCCTGTCAGGGCCTTTGCATTGTGCTTTGACGTGTCCATGTCCCCAGCAGCGATAGCATTTTTTCTCCCTTTCACGTTCGATGACCCTACAGTTGGGCCACCCTATTTTTATTTTACCTGCTGTTAGTAATTGGTAGGCATCTCCTTCTGATATTATTACTGTTACATTCTGTTTGTTCCTGTTCGCCGGCCGTAAAGCTTTGATTTCGAAAGACTCTGGCTTGGCAGATGTTACTTCGCAAATGGCTTTTCTAATTTCATCTTCTGTTGTAACTTCATCCAGATCTCGTATGTGTAGCACTTTCTTGCTTATCAGGACTGACGTCGTCATCTGTGGGTTTTTTTCTTCAATTTCTCTCTTCAGTTCTTCCACTTTTTTTGACCCTTCTTCTACAGTTAGAAGCAGCTCTCCATTTCTTGTCTTTTTTATGTCTCTTACATTTACACCAATGTTTGCCGGATCAACCGTTTGTCGCATCGTCCTTAATATGTCTCCATATGACTTGCCCTCCATACGAACTAGTAGAGCTTCTTGTTTGGGTTTTCTAAGTTTCTTCAGGCCTATTCCACTCGTTGTGGTATTCCTCCTGGTTCTCGCTGGCAGGGTTTGCACTATTTGTCCCCAGGTTTTTTTGTTGTCAGGTGGTTTATACATTTTTATTTGCACATCAGTGCCTTCAAAGAGGTACTCCATCATTCTTATGTATACTGTTCTATTCCATCTAATTCTGGAATTATAAGATTCTTTTTCATGTGCTTCAGCATATAATTCTTTAACGTATGTAAGGAATTGAACACATTTTCGTCTTGATTCTTTTGTGTTGAATTTTCATCTGCTACAATAGTGTAGTGGATGTTTCTAGACGTGAACGTGATATTCCCATCTTCATCTGGAAAGCCTAGAGAATGCGCCATGAAGGCTATTTCTCCTTCTTTTTTGTTTTGGCTCCTAAGACCTGTGATTCCCCCTAGTTTGTTGATTGCTGCCATGACCCTTTTGTGCCCGCTTCTTATGCTCGTGTCACATGGCAGGGCTATATCCATATCTGTTGGGGCCTCCCAAATGTTGCCAACTTCTGTTCCTATTCTAGTAAAGACTTCATCTTCCCAGTCCTGTTCCGTGACTTGTTCAAAGTACTCGAAAGTTTCCTCCTTTTTTAGAAAGGACCTCCTTGTCATTCTTCTTTGTACTTTTTCACACTCGTCACATCTCATGTTATTCTGGTATTCGTTGTTCATTAGGTGTATTTGTTCCTTTAAGTTCTGATTTTCGTATTGCAACTGCTTTTGAGTTTCATTTTCTTTACATGTATCAGTAGATACATCTTCGACCCATTTTTCCATATCACTTGTCTGCAGTCTCTCTGCCTGCATAACTATTTTACCTGTAATTTCCTGTAATTCTCTTTTTGGCTTATAGGCTTCTCCAACTATTTTCTCTAGTGTCTTTATATGCTTTAGCAGCATTCCCAGCGTACTTTTCAATTTTTCAGCCTTTCTGTCTTCTTTTTTGTCAACTACACTCTCAGGTGAGCCGTCTGGCTTCTTACGTTTAGATGGTCGCTCCTTTAAGTCGATTTTATTACTTATACCAAAATCCTCTGAGGTACTTTCGAAGGAAAATGATCTCAGTTTAGTAGGAGTTCTAGGTAATGAGTCTCTTCTAGTAAAAGCATTTATAGACTCTTTTTCACTTGTACCTACCTACCTACCTACCTACCTACCTACCTACCTACCTACCTACCTACCTACTGGACATAATGAGATCCTCAAAAAAGCGGAGATACCGGAGGAGTGGAGAAAGGCGAAAGCCTGGCTTATGCCCAAGGCAGACGCAACACAAGGGTAGTATAGACCTATATGTCTCATAGACACAACGGCAAAACTCTTTGAGCACTAATGAAGAATAGAATGGAAAAGGATAGGCATCTGATTACAGAAAACCAATTTGTTTCCGCAAAGGAATGCCCACGGTGCAGGCAGCACAGAAGGTTGTTTAGGTCAATCGGAGAGACTGGAAGAACAATTATGGTCGGAAAAGAGGAGCTACCGGTGTCTCAGGGGGTTCCACAAGGCTCAATACTGGGATCACTGCTGTGGAATACGGTTTACAATGGCATACTGGAACTAGATCTAGTAGTCAAGTTGCCTACACGGACGATCTGGCGATCACAGTGAAGGCGCAGGATGACGAAGAGCTTATGTGTGCTGCAGATGCAGCATTACTAGAGGTAAAAAAGTAGATGGAAATAAAGGCCTAGAGATCGTGCTGGAGAAAACGGAGGTCCTCATTATTAAAGGCACCCAGAAGAGGGAAGGGATAGTCTTCAGCATCGGTTGGATCGAGATTCTACCAAAGAAGACGGTAAAATACCTGGGAGTGCACTTGGATGATAAACTAATTTTCAATGAACACGTAAAGAGGACGTGCAAAAAAGCCTGTAGACAAGTGGTGGCACTCATCAGGATTCTACATATTATAAAGGGCTCCGGATACTACGGCAGGAGGATGCTATACAGGGTGGTAGCCTCGGTAGCCCTATACGCGGCACCATTGTGGGGACAAGTAATAAAAATTGACAACTGTTTACAAACATAATTGCTAATTTTTTTCATTTGATTAATTAAAACTTGAAAAAATTAAATTTCGGTTGAATACACGGCTATTTTTAGTGGGAAAAGAAAATTGAAATAACGCGTTGCTTTTGTATACCAAATCCCAATAATCCAACAGTAATATCATATCAAACAAATATAGCACAAGAACTGTCAGTATCAAAATTTATATCGCAAACTTTGAATTCCGTTTCCAAAAAAATCCCACACGGATTAGATATTCTAAATGCTCCTATTAATAAATCAAAAATCAATAGAACATAATATAAAAACCCTTTTGGTCCAACCTTTACATACATTTAAATATCTAGAGTAAACAAATTAGAAATAAAATTATGCACTACAGATTCTTCCGCAGGGTCCCACACTCCGAAGATATGCAAAATAAATATCACGAGTGGGATTTAAAGGATATATCTATCATTGAATACCGATGATATATTAAACCTCGGAATGAATGGATAATGTCCTTCGGGCTATAAAAAGAGGATTTTGGTTTTGAATTGACCCGGCATAAAAGAATTTCGATTGCTGTTCATAACGATAGGGAACCCGATAAGGGTTGGAGGACAGGTAGCGAAAGGGTATTGTTTCGCGACCTTTTTTCGGCGGGTAAGATTTGCATACGGTATGTTATTTGAAGAAGTGACAGGTTTAAAAAATCTTTGGGAAGGAAGTGGACCGGTCGGGTGAAATTTAGGCGCTAAATTTTTAACTGAAAACATGTTATACATTTTTCATATTTAGAGTCATAATAAGAAAGGACCTTACACTTTTTATATTTGTTTTGAGTAATGTGAGAATTGTTCAAATTTAAGAATTTTTACGTATTCAGATAAGAAAAATACAGAAATCATGATTTTTTTCGACCTCAAGTTTTTGACGGATTCGGATTTTTACGTTTTGGGGTCCCCTGAATCTATGTTGACTATTTTCGAGATGATTGTGTGTGTGTGTGTGTGTGTGTGTGTGTGTGTGTGTGTGTGTGTGTGTGTGTGTGTGTGTGTGTGTGTGTGTGTGTGTGTGTGTGTGTGTGTGTGTGTGTGTGTGTGTGTGTGTGTGTGTGTGTGTGTGTGTGTGTGTGTGTGTGTGTGTGTGTATGTGTGTGTGGACGCTTGTACCAAAGCAAAGTTAAAATGATACCTATTCATTGAATTAATGTCCTTTAAAAATATTGGACCGATTTTCGTGTCCAACGAAAATAATAAATTTAAAAAAATATGAATTATTTAATTAGGGTTTTTTTGAGGTCACTAAAAACGAAGTTTACTATATATGTAATAGTCAATGTTGTGGATCATAAATGCTAAATTTATGTATTAAAATTTACGTTTAATTCTTTTTTGAAATGTTTCAGTAAAAATGTATTATTAACATTGTTTTTTATGTTAGTAAAGACCTTAAAAATGACTAGTAAAGATTTTTAAATTAAAACCTGGTCAAAAATACCTTGTCAAGTTATCGGGTATATATAAAATCATTATTTATTTTTTTTTTAATTCTTTATTTTCGTTGGGGCACTAAAAACGGACCAAAATTCTTATTGGACACTAATTCGGTGAAAAGCTATCATATTTATCTAACTTTGGTACAAGCAGTCAGTTTGGAAAATAAGTCACGCGTATGCCTACTTAGGCATCAAATTAAAACATTAAAACGTTGAAGAGAAAAAATGGCCCAGTGAAATTGGAGTAGTAGGTGAATTTTGTGAAATACATAACAAAAACTTGAAAATAAACCCTAAACCAGCCATAAGAAAATAAGTCACTTGCATGCCTTCTCACGGCTACTTTATAACGGAAAGAGAAAATGGCCCACCGAAATTGGTAGAGGGTTTAATATTTCTTGTAGGTTGGCACTATATCGGAGTACAATTTAATAATAAAATTAGCCATAAGAAAATAAGTTACAAACCTGCACGTTGGCTTTAGGACTATAATCATCCTTGGTATTTTTTGTTGAACTAATATTGATTCGTTTCTGAACAAAAAAATAGATATTCATCACATTTCTAGCGATATGTACATTACTATATACCTGTAGCGTTTTCATTTATTAATTCGATACAATTTTCATTGAGGAGGTACATTATATTTTCACGTTAAGATTAACAGATAAAACGCTCGAATGGTTAGTCTATAAATAATGTCTGTTAGCTCATAGTGTTTTTTTATAAAAATATTATTATCGACATAATGAGAGAGGAAGCTATAAATTATGCTGAATGTGTCAAGGTGTAAAGATAATTGATTTTATTAAAAATTTATATTTATTATTATAGTTATTATATTTGTTAGAATCGTGTTTTATATATATACAAAATTATCGATAAAAAATTATAAACGCAACGGAGCTGCTGTACATTCTATTTTACTATTGTAACCGAAAAAGAAACCAGTTCTTCCTTTGGTTATTACATTTACATTTCATAAATTAAATATATTTTTTACTAGATCTAACCCCTCTTGTGACAGAAATGAAACATCATATAAATTTGACGTAAATTATGAAAAGTCGAACTTTTCATTATCTAGTTAATAACTAAGAGGAATTCGGAAAAGACTTTTTCCTACGACCACTTAGGAAAGTGACACATATCACATTATATAGACCTATGGAAAGTGCCCTATATCACACGCGTATGAATAAGAATTTACTTTCCACCCAAGTGAGAATATGCTACTTTCCGCAGTAGCTGTCAGAAAATGTCAAACACATAATTTCTATTTTGATCTATGTAATGTCCATATTAATGCTAAAATCGATATGATTGTTAAATTATTGTAAATTAGATCCTAGATATTTATCTTTAACAATTATTTTTAAAATAATTTTAAAATAACTAAGATATATTTGCTTTTTATTCTGGTTAAACACATAAGCGATTAGATCAATCAATTACCGTAAGGCCTGTTAGCTCAGTTGGTTAGAGCATCAACTTTGCAATTTGAGACCGTCCAACGACCGCGATCGAATCCTGGCTGTGCCAGAATTTTTTTTTTTATTTTTTTTTTATTTTTTTATTTGTTTAGAAATTAT